CAGCGAACAGGCTCAGAGGTGTGCCAGCTCAGCAGCTGCACTCTATGGGCGAGCACACAGGGCCCACTTCCCAGGAAGAAGAACGAACAATATCTCTGCCTTTAAACACAAACAAACCCACAGTTTGTGAGTTACAAATGACTCCATCTCTGCAGGAGGTCCATCCTGAGATTTGTTTGGGCCTCTGCAGGAGAATTGGCTCCATTTCCAGTTAGATTACAGAAAAGCTAAGACCGAGCAGGAGCGAGAGAAACCGTCACAGAGTACGGGATGTCAGCCACAGCCCTGGTGAGTGGATGCCAGGGGCAGAAGCCCTCAGAGAGGCTTGAGGGTGTGGAATAAGCATCAGAATTCGCTATCAGAGCAGTCCCCTTCTGAGGAGCGTTTACCCACCAACCCCACAGCTCCCCAGAGTTTTCTTGAGTGGGAGCAGCAGGAAATATTAGATAGAAGGATATAGGTTGTGGAGATAAACAGAAAATACAGAATAGCTTCTAGAGGGCCTGGAACCTTTTCCAACGAGCCCTGACTGTCTCTGCCTCAGGGTATTTATAGATACCAAGGGGTGGAGCAAAAGACCTCCCCCCAGCACAGCCAAGTGCAGACCATCTCAGACACCCGCACTCAGGCCCGTGGTCCAATCATCCTCTCTATGCGAACCTGCTGGGTAAAGCCACAAGGAACCTGAAAACGGGCTCCCACACCCCTCCCATTCTGTTCCTGGTTTTTGGGGTTGGGGCCTCTCCAGGCCTTCATTCACCCTCATGACTATAATCTCACCTGATCCCACTGACAGGCTTTCCTCCCGTCTCCCTTCCCTGACCCACTGTGCCCACAGGACTATGACAGTGTAAAGGGGGACACTGGAGTGGGAGACCAGTACCAAGAACGATTTTAAACCACAGAACTAGCCATAGCTCTTCAGAAGAAGGAAATGTATCAGGCAGTGAATTTTGCAAAAACTGTGATCTTATCTCTTTCCCAGTGTCATTGCTACAAGTTTAAGTCTCAGTGATTTTGTATGGGCCAACTGTCACTCGGCTGTGCAGGCCAGGCCTTTCTCTGTCACACTTCTCTGCTCCACCGTTGTGACTTGAAGGCAGGCATCAGCCAAAGGCAAGTGAATGAGTTTAACTGTGTTCCAAGGAGATGTTGTTTATAGATGCTAAAATTTTTATCTTGTGTAAGCCCATGTTATTAAATTTTTTTTATCCAAAACATTTATAGATATAGGACTGAGGCGTAAGTCTGTGGTAGAGCACCTGCCCGGCATACATGAGACTCTGGCTTGAGTTGCCAGCACCCCTGACATTATAACTGTATTCTCTTACTTCATGGGTCATGCAAAACCCAGGTTTGATCTATGCATGAACAGGATAGCCATGGTTGCCTACATGATTTCTTCCAAGGTCTACAAAGATCCTTGAGGTCAAGTATTCTGTTTGCCCTGATATCTTTGCCAGAGCTGAGAGCTTCTGTACTCAGAATCCAGTGAGATCTTCCTCTATGCCATAGGCTGTCACCTCCTTAGGAGCCCCCAAGGTTCAGTGGAAGGTGGAGCGTAGAAGCACATTATTTTCTAGTGTGTGTACGTCTCTGTGTGGGGGTGCTCACGAACATGCCTTTGCGTGCATGTGGAAATCAGAGGACGACCTTGGGTGTCATCCTCAGGGACACCATGTGGGTGCTCACGAACATGCCTTTGTGTGCATGTGGAAATCAGAGGACCACCTTGGGTGTCATCCTCAGGGACACCATCTACCTCCTTTGCTGCAGGATTGCTCACTGGCCTGGAGCTCACCAAGTGGGCTAGACTGGCTGACCAGACAGTCCCGGGATCCTACTGCCACCTTCCCAGTGCTGGGATGACAGTGCGTGACATCTTTCCATGGTTCTGGGGATTGGACTCAGTTCCTGTGCTCAGGAGGTAGGTACTTCAGAGACGGAGCCCTCCCTCAGCCTCTAGAAGCCCGTCATTGCAGAGAGTATGGAGACCATCCCTTCCCTTTAGAAACTGACTTAGCTCTCTCTTGACCGAGGACACTGTTCCTCAGAGCCACTCTGTAACTCCCTACAAAGGCTCAGTCTGCTCTAGTTCCCTGAAGCCAGGAGGGAAATGCTGGAAGGGACATAGTCTACAGAACTTAGGAACAGCAGGCCTGGCCACCTTCTTGGGACACTGAATGACGTACAAGGACCAGACGGACCGTGAGTTACCCTGCCTGGGCTCAGAGCTTCCAAGCCCAGGCCTTGTGAGGAGGCCGTGGTGTTCTCCTGCCCTTCAGCGGACACTGACTTTGTTTCCTTATAAACCTCCGAAAGGAGGTGTCTGCCCGGTATGATGACAAAGAACGGAAGTAGACCATCTTCCTCGATAGAACGATAAACCGTTTCCTCAGCCACCGAAGGCTGACTCACTGCCCTGGCTCGAAGGCAGCTCTGTGCTGGGGGGATGGGGAGAGCTGCTCGCCTCTGAAGGATCCCAGCAGTGTCTCTGCACTACAGAGAATACCTAACAGCCGATTTCCATTTTCCCACAAAAGCTCATTCACCTATACGCTGGGTAAATGGCTTAAGCCCTGTGAAACTTCAGCCATAATTCCAAGAACGGGGGTGGGAGGGTCAAATACCCATTCTCCCCATAAACATCTTCAGTTCCTAGCTGGAACGGCCCCTTCCCTTCCCTTGCTCTCCAGGCACACTCTCCAAAGGGCTCATACTATGTTCTCCTTGTATCTTGACCTTGCTCAGGCTGTGGTGACATGACTTGCTTCCAGCAGGGTGCCTATGGCCACATGCTCCCCAGGAGGAAGCCAGTGTTCCTTACACAAGACAACCTGGAATAGAAAAAGTCCTCCCAGAGGGTAAGGAAGGAAGTGTCTGTGGACAGTGAAGCCTAGACCACATGAACAGTCTGTGCTGGGAAATCGCTCTTGGGAGGAGTCCACAGGGATGGGTATCTGTGCCCGAATGCTTGCATGTTCTCGTTGCTGTCCCCTGCACTAGGAACCAGAGGCCATTGTCCAGACTGATGTCCCAGTCCTTATCTGTGCATGAACTGACCTTTGACAATGAGGTCATTTATTTAATCTTTATACTTAGCATCGAGGAAATCTTTAACCAAGAATTATTAAGTAAATGAACAAACAAACAGAAAACTCTCTCTCAGAATTTAGCTAGTATTTGCCTAATTTTCCCCATAATTACAGAGAAAGGCTACTTCATAAACTATCATTCCACAGAGTTGTAAAAGGCCCCCTGACCTCACTGGCTTACCTTTTTTTTGTAAACTCGAGTAAAATGCTCCTTACACTCAGATGGCTACCATAAATCTGCTTTCAAGACAAGATGGGGAAGGGGGAAGGAGAGGGGTAGGAGAGGCAGCCATCAAAACTGCGCTTTATCAGCAAAGCAGTGGCTTTTCCAGAACCCCACTGACACCCCACTTCAGTACACCGCCTAGAACCCCACTGACACCCCACTTCAGTACACTGCCTAGAACCCCACCCACTGACACCCCACTTCAGTACACTGCCTAGAACCCCACTGACACCCCACTTC